AGCAAAACACAACACAGCACAGCACAATACAACACAACACAGCACAATACAGCACAACTCAACACAACACAACACAGCACAGCACAATACAACACAACACAGCACAGTACAACACAGCACAGCACACTAAGCCGATGCAGATTATTAGAAATTATTAGCACATTATTAGAAAGACTTTCCTCCCCAGCATTCATGTCTCCTATTAATGCATCACCGTCCTCTGGACCCGAGTCTCTGTCATTTCAAAGGGGCCAGCCCGAGATCTGATGGGTATGGGGTGAGCAGACGCCCTCTGTCCCATGTCTCTACTTTCCTTTTTTCTTGGGTATTTTAAAGTTTGTGCTGTGTGATTTGTCCTCCAGCAACCTCTGGTGTCAGAGGCTTATATCAGTCTAGTCCATGAATCAACCCCTTCTCTTTTAATTAAAGTGATGTATCGCTTCGGTACACAAGACAAATGCCGCTGGAACGGAGGCTGGGGATGACTCGGATTCCCATCTGGGTGGGAGGACCCAACACGACGAGTCTCACAGTGACAAGCCAATGGATGAAGTGGGCTCGCTATCAGAATCGGATGGAATTCAACATTCTCCTTTCGGTTCCTCGCAAGACGATTGTGGACAATGACTGCTTTCTTCTATAAATGGTACCGATCCTCAGGGAGTTCTGGGGCAAGACCTTTGGATTTTATTACCAGTCACAAAACGGATTTGTGTTGTGCCGAATGAGTCCCTTGGGGTCCCGATGGTTCAGGAGGGGTCGGCTTTCTCAGCCACTCTGTAAATAACTTCAGCCAGGTGGGAAGGCGACGGCAGCAACAGGGCAGTGCTGGCTTGCCTGCGAGTGTGTGAGCCCCACGATGTGGGCGCCCAGCAGCCGTCCCAGGTCTCTTACTGAAGACTTCCAGCTGTTCCCACCCCACACCCCATGTTCTTTTGTTACATACACACTTTATCTGGTGTGTGTGTGTATGTGTGTGCACATGTATGTAAACACATGTATACCACAGTGAACATGTGGCAGTCAGAGGATAACCTGCAGGAGTCTGTTCTCCTCTTCCACCATACGGGACCCAGGGATTGAACTCAGATTGTCAGGCTTGGCAGCAATCACCTTTCTCCACTGAGCCCTTTCCCCGCCCCTTCTCTCCTTATTTTTGTCACCATTGGGTTAGTCTCAACACCTAAATGTTGATTTCTACAACACCATAATTCTCAGCTTCTGACCCCTGAAATGAAGCTTCCTACCCCCGCTTTAACTACCCTCCTCCTGGTGGCATCCTTCACTTTATAATGGCCAATGGCCACACCATTTTCATGTTGTCTATTTCAAGCGTTCTGACCTGTCATGTTGATCGCTAGCCCTCAGCCTCCTGTCTCACTTAGGTCAGCACTGCTGCCCAGGATTTCCTGCAGTGTCCCCATCTCAGAGCCCATGTTCAGTTGGGGTTGTTCCTTTGTAAATACCTTTGTCCCAAGCCGGGCAGTGGTGGCGTACGCCTTTAATCCCAGCACTCGGGAGGCAGAGGCAGGCGGATCTCTGTGAGTTTGAGGCCAGCCTGGTCTACAGAGCTAGTTCCAGGACAGGCTCTAAAGCTACAGAGAAACCCTGTCTCAAACCCCCCACACACACCAAAAAAAAAAAAAAAAAGAAAAAGAAAAAGAAAATACCTTTATCCCTATGTCTTTCCCACATTGCTCCATTCTCTCCACACCTTACCTGAATAATCAACTCTGTTCATTTGGCTCCCTTGAAATTCTCAATCTAAAAATCTCAAGTAAGGCTTACCACCTTTTGGCAAACATTTGATTTTTTTCTACTTACATTTAAACATATAAGGTAGAACGAGTTGGAGGAAAACACCCAGAATTGATCTCTGACCTCCCCTTGCACATGTATGTATACACACACACACACACACACACACACACACACACACACACACGAAGGTTACCCCCCCCCATTACAGTCATGCCACTATGATCACCAGAGCAGCCAGGACTTCACAGAGAAACCCTGTCCCAAAAACAAAACAAAACAAAAAACAAAAACAAAAACAAAACAAAAAACAAAAACAAAAACAAAACAAGGGACTGGAGAGATCGCTCAGTGGTTAAGAGCATTGCCTGCTCTTCCAAAGGTCTTGAGTTCAATTCCCAACAACCACACAACCACATGGTAGCTCACAACCATCTGTAATGAGGTCTGCTGCTCTCTTCTGGCCTGCGGACAGAATATTGTAAACATAATAAATAAATAAATAATAAATAAATAAATAAATATTTTTTTTAAAAAAAGCAAAGAACAAAACCAAGCAAACAAAACAACAATAATAACAAAAACCTAATTCAGCGGATAGCCAGGACCATCAGCCAAAATGAAAACAAAGACTTAATTCTGTCAAAGTCCATGGTTCTTGGAAAGTCTCTAAATGTACTACTAACTTTGCCTTTTGGCTTCTGTAGTTCCGATTCTGGCTAGTTATTCTTGTTAACCCAAGTGTGTCAACTCAGAAGGTGATTTTTGTGAGAAGGCTCGAGCTACGCTGGGATCCTGAACGCCCAGTTAACCCAGCAGATTAACAAAGACTTAGATCCACATTCTCCTAGTCTTCTCTAATGAATACCCCACAAGGCATGTGTGTTATACAACCAGAACACGTCATTTCTGATTTTAAAAAACATAATATTGTTATTCTTTCATAACTTCATAATACAATGTATTTTGACCATACTCCCCCACCCCTCCTAGGTTCATCCTTCACCTCCTCACCCCCTCTCAACTTCATGTCTTTTTTTTTTTTTTTTAAACTAACCCATTGAGGCCAAATTGTGCTGCCCGAATTTTTGTTTTGTTTCGTTTTAGCCCTGGCTGGCCTTGAGCTTCTGATTTTCCTGCCTCTGTCCTCGGGACACTGGGTCAGCAGACACGTACCACCTGACTTCACACAAGCTTTTCTTTGGTCGACATTGTAAACACAGTTTAGGGAACGCTATTTTCTCACAGTAAACAGAAAAAGATTACCTGTGGAGCCAGGTTCTTGGGCCTGTCTCAGAAAATAAAGATGTTTACCATTAGATTTTTCTCTGTCCCCGTGGTGACACGTTTCAAGGAGAACTGTCACGTGGTTTCCCTTCTGGCAACCAGAATTCCCAGTGCCGCGTGGGCTGTGGGCCAGAGTTCATAGGGTCTGGCAAACGAGGGTTTTTTTTCCCCTGCCCCTCCCAGAGCTGCGACTGTATGCGCTGCTCACTGACAGTGACGAAGGAGTTTGGTTTGCATCTGTCCGTGAGTGGCACCCCAGTAGTGAGGATTCACGGTCTGTAATCAGAACCCGCATGCTAATTATCTCCTCCTGAAAAGGAACGAAAAGCATAAAAATAGCGTTGAAATGGCACCAGCTCCCACAGAAAACGTTCCCCGCCCCCTTCGTCATTTCTTGAGTACCTTGATCTTCCATCGTGAGCAGGCTTGGGAGAGGAGAGAGGTTCACAGTGTCTTGAGAAGTGGTTGTGTACCTCACTCACCACGGCTGGGGAAAGGCTGAAGGACCCCGAGTGGCGGTCTCCGAAGCTTTGGATCGTACAGCACAGCGATAGCTGCGATGCACCGTGACCGCACGCGGCTTATTTTTAAAATGTTGTCACTGTGAATCCTTGCCAGCTGGCCCTGAGAACTCCGGTTTTATCCTGTGATATAAAACTGTGATCTTAGCTAAATGTCACAGTGCACGCGTGGGATCCCAGCACTAGGGAGACTGAGTTAGGAGGAGACTGCTGAGGGTTTGATGCTAACGTGGTCTACATAGTGAGTCCCAGGCTAGCCTGGGCTCCAGAATGAGACCCTCCCTTTTTATTTTTTTAAATGTGATTTAGGATCTCTTCTCAGTATCTAGATCTCTCTAACTCTGTCTCTGTCTCTCTCCTGCTCACTTCTATGTTCATGAAAATGCTGTGCTCTGTAAGCCAGAGCTTACCCTTCTTAAAATTACATTTATTTATTCACTCGTGTCTCTGTGTGAGCACGCACGTGCATGTAGGCACGTGTGCACTTGCCATGGCACATGTGTGGAGGTCAGAGGTCAGCTCCCAGGAACCAGTTCTCTACTTCCACCTGTGGGCCCTGGGGATCGAACTCAGATGGTCAGTTTTGGTGGACAGTGCTTTTTTTTTTTTTTTTTTTTTTTTTTTTTGAGACAGGGTTTCTCTGTAACTTTGGAGCCTATCCTGGAGCTAGCTCTTGTAGACCAGGCTGGCCTCGAACTCACAGAGATCCACCTGCCTCTGCCTCTGCCTCCCGAGTGCTGGGATAAAAGGTGTGTGCCACCACCTCCCGGCATGGACAGTGCTTTTACCCACCACGTCATCTGGTCAACCCCAGAGCATCTTTCACTGATGGTTTAGAAAGTCTTGCGAAGCAATGAGACAGACCGTATTGATTGCTATCTGGGGCTACAACCTTCCTGCTAGCACAGCTCTGACTGCTAAGTGTGGGCTGATAACGGGTTCAGAAAGTCTGGCCATGCCTCCAAGTGGGGTAATCATTAAAATAAAGGCTACAAGGTTGGGATATAGTTCAGTTGTGGAGCGTTTGCCTAGCGTGAACAAGGCCTTGGGTTTGATCCCCAGTACAGCACAGAGGGGGGAAAGGTTACAGAATATCCAGCTAAAACTGAATTTCAGACAAAAACAGAAAGAAAGAAAGGAAGAAAGGAAGAAAGAAAGAAAGAAAGAAAGAAAGAAAGAAAGAAAGAAAGGAAGGAAGAAAGGAAGAAAGAAAGAAAGATTGGGCATGAAGGTGCACACCTGTAATCCTAGCACTTAGGAGGATCAAGAGTTCAACACCAGCCTATGAAACATAGCAAAACCCTGTCAGACAAAGGGAGAGAAGAAGAAGGGAGAAAAGAAGCGAAGGGAAGGAGAGGGACAAGGAGAGGGAGAGGGAGAGGAGAGAACCCTATTCCTCAGGCACTAAAAATGAACTATGAACAAGTCAAATGTGAGAATCCTCACCTGGTCAGGGATGGATCTGGGGTGTGGCCATGTAATGAATCTAGGTAGCTGGAGCGGAGGGTGAATCTACTGGGGGCTTCTGAGAAAGATTTTTCTCCTGATGAAAGTCAGACTGGAAGAGGCCAATTGCACTGTGGGAAGCACTGAGTCTTCCTGCCTTTGGTAACCTCAAGTGAAGATGTATTCTTCAGAACAACAAGAGGTCCTCTTGTCACGAGGAAGAGAAAATCCTGATGAAGTCAGCCAGAGCAAGCCAGGTATCTGTCTGTCGGAATCGGATTCAGTCGTTCAGAAGTTCCCTTCCCCAGACACTTTGTTCTGTGACGTAATGAACATCCTCACTGTGGGAATCGCTTTCTGCTGGGCGTTCTGTTCAAGAGGCTGGCGGCATCCTGAGTGATTCAGCTGACAGGAAGTGGGAGCTCCGGCAGCAGGTGTTAAGGCTGTGGTGGGGCTCCGATCCTGCCCAAGAACTGTCCCCTGGTCACACGCACAGCACTGTTCCACGGTGAGAGTCACTGGACCCACGGCTGACAGCCCTAAAATAAAATTCTTTAAAAATTTAAAAAGACAGGACTGGAGAGATGGCTCAGAGGTTAAGAACACTGACTGCTCTTCCAGAGGTTCTGAGTTCAATTCCCAGCAACCACATGGTGGCTCACAACCATCTGTAATGAGATCTGGTGCCCTCTTCTGGCCTGCAGGCATACATGGAAGCTGAACACTGTGTACATAATAAATAAATAAATCTTTAAAAAAATTTAAACAGACAACACTTGGGAGGCAGAGGCAGGTGGATCTCTGTGAGTTCGAGGCCAGTCTGGTGTACAATGTGAGTTCCAGGACTGCCATGGCTGTTACACAGAGAAACCCTGTCTCAAAATTTTTTTAAAAAAGAATTCTGATTTTCTTTGGGAAGCAAAAGCATTCAGTGATAAAGCACATGCTTGGGGTCTTGGGTTCAACAGCCACTATCAAAAATAGCTTTTTCAGTAACAGTCCCTAAAAAACTGACCGAGTGTGGCATACAAGCCGTTTTCGTTGTTTTGTTTTCTGAGTCAGGTATGTTGCCCTAGCTGGCCGTGAACTCACATAGATCTATTTGCCTCTACCTCCTGAGGATTAAAACCACTAATACTCCTACTAAGAAGTGGAGAACGAGAGATGGGGGTTTGTTTTTTGAAACAAGGTCTCCTGTGTGCTAGTTTGGCCTCAGGCTTCCTATATCATTAAGGGTGAACTTGAACTTGCTTCTCTGTGCCCACTTCACAGGCATGCGCCACCATGTCCAGTACTATAAAAATTAAACATTCTAGTTCAAGCTGAATATTTAACAGGCACTAACCCTAAAGAAAACCAAAAGGTCAGGGAGAAGGAAAAACAGACAAGGGAACAAGTGACTGAAGACTGCAGACTTGGTTGGGTAGTGGGTGCACGCCTTTAATCCCAGCACTCAGGAGGCAGAGGCAGGAGGATCTCTGAGTTCACGACCAGCCTGTTCTATAGAGTGAGTTCCAGCCAGGGCTATACAGGCAAACCTTGTCTCAAAAAAAAAAAAAAAAAAGAAGGCTTTTATTTAAGGGAAAAACCTTCTGAGGGTCTCTGCAAGAATCAGAGCCAAGGGCTAGAAAGATGGCTCAGCAGATAAGAGAGGCTATAGCTCCTTCCAGGGACCTGGGTTCAATTCCCAGCACCCACGGCAGAAGATCACATCTACCCATAACGTCAGGTCCAGGGGGTCTGGAGCCCTCTGGCCTCCTCTGGCACCTGCACGCACGTGATTCACATAAGCTCACTTAGGCACACACAGAATCACGTAAACAAGATTCCTTTTAGGCCTAGATCAGCCTTGCTAGGAGTGACTAAAGAATGGCAAGAAGTCAGAGGTCTGCAGGGGGCGGTGGCAGGAATCTAGGGAAACTACTGGAGTCCTGGAACGTTGATGACTGTGGTTTGGGGAGCCTGCCTCTGCTGAGGAATGTTTTAGCATGGTGTGGACACAACTCACTGATAAAAACCGCTTCTCTGTTAGAGGGAAGTCACTGTCTGTCTGGGTAACTCAGATGTCCCGCTTAGGGCTGAGCACCCAACAGTCACCCGCGGCTCTCAGCACTGATGCCAGGTGCTTACTGGATGCAGTAACTCTGCTCACTGCAGAAAGAAGATTCACTGCCAAGACTGAGACTAGTCTATGGGCATGAACGTATTTAGAAGGTTGTTTGGTACAATGTCCATTGTGGAAAACCACAACAGTTGTAGGTTCCCCACAAGGCCTAAGACCTCCTAAGCTATAGGCTTTTGACTAGACTTACAAAACCAGCTGTGAATTCTCTCCCGTGAAGGAGGCCTCAAATCCAAGCAGATAGCAGTTGGCTACCACCATTACGGTCATGCCACTATGACACCAGTGGGCACATCTTGCCCAGGAAGTCAGTTTTTAGCATTCACCATTCACCACTTAGTAATAATTTCCCCCAGCAGCCTACACAGTGCCTTCTGGCACTATGAAAGCCAATCAGCAGGGAAGAAACCTTTAGGTCATTAAGTTACAGTTTCATTGCTCTTCTTATATTTTAATTTTCATTTAGTTATTTATTTATTTGACAGTGGTTCTGGGGATGAAATTCAAGCCTTTATACATATGAGGTAACCTTTATATTAACTGAACGACACCTCCCTTTTTTGTTGTTTTGAGGCAGACTGACTGGGTGGCCTGGACCAACCTGGCCTCTAATTTTTTAAAACTCTCCTGCCTCAGCCTCCAGAGTACTGGAATTAGAGACATGTACCACTGTCTCTCTCGTTTTTTTAAACTCATATTATTTCTTCATGTAGCCCAGGCTGACCTTAAACTCCGTATGTAGTGAAGGATGACCCTGAACTTCTGTTCTTTTTGCCTCTGCCTCTCAGGTGCCAGGACGGCAGCTATACACCACAAGTATATATATATATATAGATTATTTATTCTTATTTTTGGGATATGATCTCATTAAATTACCCAGGCTGACATTAAACTCACTCTGAAGCCCAGACTTTGAATCTGTGATCCTCCTGCCTCAGTCTCCCAACTAGATAGGATTACAAGTCTGAACTACCAGATCCAGCTTACTTTTTCTTAATAAAATATTGAGATAAGACCTATATACATGGTCATCATGATATTAGTAGATTTACAATATTGCAAATGTTGGTGAGGCATGCTGAACTGGGCCTGAAAGCAAAGGCCTGTAATCCAGAAACCGAGCAGGGCTGGAGAGCGGCCAAAAGCTCTGGCCCATCTTCCGCATGACCCTTTACTGCTTCTATCAAATCTCAATTATTCGATTCTATCAATAAAGACTTGGGAGCCAGACTCTGGAGTGAAAGCCTGCTAGCTCAGAAAGGCAGAGCAAGCACCCAACTGAATTTCCTTCTCTGCAATCATCTCTGAAAAGATCTTCCCCCCACCATCTCAACCCCAAAACTCCTCAAACTCAACGTCCCTCCCTTCTACTTCCTGTGTGTCTCCCTACCCATCCTCCTGACTCCCTCTTACTCTCTATGATTTTATTTCTTAACCTATATTCACTTCCTGTCCACTGGCTGCTTGCTCCGCCTCTTGATTTTATTCAATTCTGTTTACAATATTCAAGCAGAAAGCTCTTGGACTAAAGATGTGTGCTAGAGCTGAGCCACACCACAGCTAGAAACAGGTTTTTCCAG